TTCTGCAGTGAATCTGTTAGCAACTGCAAGATTGCTCGCTCGCTCTCAGTGGACGCATTGCCCTCGCAATATACTATGGGCTTGCAGGGCAGAGACGCCCACCCTAGCCGTGTGTGTTTGCTGGAGAAAGGTGGGGGCAGGGGCCAGAGGGTCACGTAGCCGCTCAGGTGTGTTCTTCTGGTCTCAGCATCACAGTTCACTGAAGCAGGTTCTGCAGCTAAAACAATGTTGCTTTTTCAGCTCATTAGCAAAGGACTCAAGCAGCTTTATTTAAAAAAAAAAAAAATTGCAAGGAGAGAACCAAAAAGTGCTTGCCTTAATAAAAAGAACAAAATGATGTTTCAAAAGGGAATGTTTTAATGTGGATCCATTATTACTGGAAAAGAGAGACTGAAGTGGATTATTTTTAGATGATTTTTTCTGAAAATACAGCCTGTTGAGCGAGAAAATGATGATGCCGTTGGGAGGTTATCGTCAAAGTACAAGCAAAACAAAGAGACTCAAAAAATCATAAATGAAAACACGAGAAGGAACAGCAACTGCAAAATACTCGTTTGGTTGTGGTTTCATGCCTTAATCTGGCGGGCGTGGGGGGGGGGGGCAGGGTGGGACAATGAAGTGACCTGGACCAAGGTCAGAGTCCCTGTTGCCACGGAGGACGGCCACACCTGAGATCAAAGGGCCTGCTCCTGTGTGTCCCCCTTAGGACGTAATTATTGCTTCTCATTCCCCCGCGCTTCAGGCTCACTCCCTAGTCCCGCTCGGTGGCCACCTCGAGGCCTAGGAACGTGACCCAGGACAACTAGCCAACAGTGATGTAGTCGCTGGAGAGCCTGGGTTTCCTTCTTCCTCCTCTCCTTCCTCTTGTGGCACCAGCTTACCTTGTACCTGTCAGTTTCTAATTGTGTTTACTGTGTTGTTGCATGTGATGTGCTGTTTCGGGTTGAAGGTCTCAGAGCTTCCCGAGGATTTGTGAGGCATTTCGCCGAGAGTTGGGCTGTAGATTTTTGAAATGTCATTGAGTTTGCTTTCATATTTTAAGATTGAATGAGTTCATAATGTCTGAAACCTATTCCTCTCTCAAGAGAAGACGGTGACACCTCTGGCTTCTTGGCTGTTGACTGTGTGCTGGAGATTTTGCTTAATTAAGCACTTTCGTTTAATCTTCACAACTATCCATGAAATTGTTACTATAATTATCACCATTTCTGCATGAAGAAACCGAGGCACAGAGTGATAAATTAATTTCACACAGGTAGACTGCTAGGAAGTGGGTCAGCGTTCGAATCCAGAGTCTGACTCCAAAGTCTCCCTCCAAACTCACACCCCATTCTCACCTTCTCCCTCGCTGGGCATTGGTGTGCTTCTTGGGCAAACCGGAAAGCATTAGCTCCTTGAAGAGAAAATGTCTCCTGTGGTGTGGATACATCAGGACACTGAACTTGCTTACACAATGTGCTCATGGGCCATTGGGAGTGTCTGGTTTGTTCGGGAAGAAGTTTCCAGAGTAACAGTCCCACCTCTACCACTCTCACCCTGGCCTGAGTCACCGTGACTTTCTGTCAGAATGGAGGCCCTGGGTCCTGGCAGCTCTTCCTGCTTCCGCCCTGTCTGTTCCCAGTCTGGCAGCTATCACATCCCTTCACTCAGAACCTTCCGGTGGCTTCCTGTTTCACTGAGAACAAAGTTCAGTGTCCTTCCAAGAGCAGCGTGATCTGTGACACCCTCCCCTCATCACCTTTACCACTCCCCTTACTACCTCCAAGCTCCGCGCCGCTGCCTTCCTGGCTGTCCATCCGGCTTGTTCTCAGCAGGCACGTCCTGTCTCGTGACCCTCCCAGCTGGCGCTTCCCCCTGCAGCAGCTCTGTCTCCTTCCATTTTCCTCCTTAGTGCTCATAACCACTCGATACACCGTGTGTTTCACTAATTTCTTTGTATTTTCTCTATGCCCGAACATTAGAGTAAACATTTTATTTTGGTAATACTTTTGTTTCTATTATATCCCCAAAACTGAGAAGTCAGTGGGTGTTCGGTAAATATTTGTTGACTAAATGAGGAAATGAATGCATGATGGCGTTTGGAGAATTGAATGAACTCACATGGAAGCATTGAAGGAAGTTCCTAGCACACAATCTGTGTTTAATAAATGTCACACCGTAATGAAAAATGGCATGACAGTCATTGAATGAATGATGAACGGATGAGTCAGGACTATTCCCTTCTCATGTGCTCAGAAGAGGATGTCCAGTCACGTGTGCCTTCAGCGCTGTAACTCACAACTGCAGAGGCTGCGGGGGGAGCTCGTCCCAGACCCCCTGGGTGTCCTCTCTCCCCATTACCTAGAGGGCGCACTAGAGCCCACCTTCTCTGGGCAGGTGAGTGGCCCCCAAACCTGGCTGTATTTGGAGTCACCTGGGGAGCCTTTTGAAAATCAGATCCTGACTCCCACCTGCAGATATTCTGATATGATCGGCCGGGGTGAACTGGGGGGCAGGCCTTGTTATAAGCACCCGGCTGTTCTCATCTGCAGCGAAGTCTAGGAGCCACTTCGGGAAGCTTTTCCCAGAAGTGAGCACAGCGGGGGCATCAGCCTTCCCCAGCCCCCCTCTATATGCAGAATGGAGATTTTGACAACCAGGATTCAATTCTCTCTTCTGCCGCACAGGGGGCCATTCGCAAGTCATGGAGCTAGCCCTTCCCTCATCTAGAATACGTCTCCTGTGGATCATGGTCTAAACTCAGAGCTCGGGGCCAAGTTTAGAAAATGTGGAACTAACTCCTGTCCCTTTCTCCTTTGTCCCACGGGAGATAAGTGGAGAGATTCGTTTCCGAATGGAACTCAGCAGGCTCTGCGTCGGAGCGCTCTCAGAGAGGAGGCCTATGGTCTGGACAGTGTCTACCACACCTCGGTAGCCCCAAGCTCCTCCAGACTCAGGCAGGGAGGGGCTGATGACGAGGGCGTCAAGTTCCTGGCAGGGAGGGGGTGTCGGCACACAAGAGGTCCTCCTAGCATCTCAGTTCCCAGCCTTGGCTTCCCCACCCATTCCCTGCGGCTCTACCCCTCCATGCTGGGCCCTGTCGGAGACCCCTGTCCTGGCTGCTGGGACTCACCTGCATCACTTTCCTGGTCTTATCAGGGCCTGGAATTCTGGTCACAGGCTGCTGGGCCTCCCCATGCGGCCTTCTGCCACCTGCATCCCAAACCTGTTCCCCACCACAATGTCCCATCTTGTCTCTGGATCCAGACAAATGCCTGCAACTGCACATAGACACCGCCTCCCACTGCAGCCCTGTCACACTGGAGTGTGGGGCCACACAGGAGCCATAGGCGTGTGATGCACACAGGGTCCTGGGCTGTGGTTTCACCGTCTGCTGTCTTGATGACTTAACTGCATTTGGAGGTGGGGCCCCACGTTGTCATTTCGCACTGTCCTTGCAAATTCCGGGGCTGATCGAGCGCCTGACACTTCAAATCAGGAGACCTGGTGTGACTCACACCTGGCTTACACCTGAGAAGACTGTGACCTTGGCCCAGTTATTTTTCCTGCTTGGCATTTGCAAAGAGGAGGTGCCTCCTTCCTAGGGGGCTTCTGAGCAGAAGAGGAGACAGCAGATGAGCGCCCACACTCGGCACCCACCATGTATTCTCAGCTGACGCTTCCTTCCCTGGCCTTCCAGAGCTCACACCGCCAACCAGAACAGACATTTCTTTCCATTTAAAAGGGACTTAAAACCTTTTATTTTCCTCATTGGTGATATATGTCTACAGGGCAGGTCCTGAAGGGTTCTCAGTGATTTTTCCTAACTCTTATTAATGACACACAGGGGTGACCGGACCCCTCCTTCTCTGTCTGTCTTGATCACATTTAAACAATAGTGTGGCCAGATGGCACTTGGATCCGCATCTTTCCAGGTGTTTAAAAATGATCTTCTTTCCTTACTGAAGATTAGAGAGAGGAAAAATTGAGGTAAGCCTATGTCATTGAAGTAATATTGGCTTACGTGACTTTAAGGAGATTTCTAGTGGTCAAACTCATAAATCTCCCCAAAAGAAGGCTGACTTGGATGGTATGCACGAGTGACGCCTTTGCTAGGAGTTCTGGGCTTGGCCTGGGCCCCAGCGCTGGGCACAGCAGCCCTGGCCCCCAAGCAGCAGGAAGCCACTGTTTGGATCTCAGTTTCCTCACAGGGAAGGGCAGATAACAATACCCACGCTGCTACTTCACGCTCCAGGTGGTTTTGTGGATCAAATGACATATCTGTAGAAGCATCTTGAAAATTTTTCGCTATCATACACTTTTCACATTCACTTTATTGATAAGATCTCTGATATTTAAGTGTTTACCAAAAAAGAGATTCATTCAAATCACTTGAAAACCTCCACAGAAAATAAATGCCCAAAGTTACTTTCTTAGCTTCTTTGGAAAGGGGGACATTTGGGACAGTAGGATAACTTGTGACCGCCACAGAGGTCCCCAGCACTTCCGTTTCACTGGAGCCAGAAGCCGCAGGCGTTGCCTACCAAGGGTCCAGACCCTCTGAGACTCTTCCTCAGCTTATCGGTTATGATTTGATCATTTTCCACAGTGAAATATCTTTTTCTCTATTTAGTAATTCCATTATCTACAGCACATTAGCAAGTGATTAGTTCTGTGAAAAGAAGAATAGAAGAGGGTGAAAGGGTGTGGGTGTAGGGGTATAGGGTTGCCCTTTTAAAGGGTGTGCCCAGCATGGTCGTCTCAAGAAGGTCCCTCATACCAGCAGTGCACGCATGCAAGGTTGGGGGAACAGCCAGTGCAAAGCCCTGCAGTCCTCTAGAAAACCAGTGGGCCTGGTTTTCAAGGAACAAGGAGACCAGAAAGACTCCAGGAGAGCCACGTCTCTCCCCCTCTACCAAACAGGAGAGAAGCTTTGGAAACTCAGAGGAACGTGATCACCAGGCACTGTCTAGCGCTGTCTAACTGATGCCTCCTCTCTCTCCTGTGTGCTTTCCCCACAGTCACGTGACGCAGGCAATCCCTTATGATGACCCTCGGTTCGAGAGTTGCCAAATCATCCCTCCAGCTCCGCGGAAGGTGGAGATGAGGAGGGACCCTGTGCTGGGATTTGGTTTCGTGGCAGGAAGTGAGAAACCAGTGGTCTTTCGGTCAGTAACCCCAGGTAAGCTCCAGCACCGCTTCTCGTCCTCCCTGGAACATCCACCACACACTTCCCGCCAGGTGACCATGTTCTGTTTCATGGATTTCCCTTTCAGGCTGTGAAGGCAGCTGAGTTTCCAATACCTGGTTAGAGTCACACCACCAGCCGGGCAGAAATGGTTCCTCAAACGAGGCTCTCACTGTTAATACCATCCTACCTCTTGACTTGGGAAAACACTGACCATCGCTTGTGATGGTAGACACAGCCTACTTCTTAATGTATGAAAGCAAATGCTAGGGAGTAGGCCCTGAGCTGTATGTCAGCGAGCTCATGGCAACTTCTTGAGAACAAGCCGGAAGTACTATCCAAGTCACAACAGGATCCAGTCATTGGGGTGGTTAGAGTCTTTCAAAGATGTCCTTCCCTCCCCCCACCCCACTAGAAGCAGAAAGTATTTCCCTAGCCCCTTGCTGTCGGGCTGGGCCAGTCGACTGACTTTGGTCAAGGGCAGGATAGCAGAGAGGACACAAGCAAAGACTGGAAGTATGCTCGTGAAGTTGAGCTTGTTTCTCGGGCTTCTGCCATGCCACACCAAATGGTTTCCTCAAGCTTCCCCTTCAGTGGTTCCCTGACAAACACACGAGCCCACCTGCCTGCAGCTTAGAACTCCGCAGCCTGATCTGCAGTGGAAAGCAGAACTGCTCAGCTGAACGAGGCCTAGGTTGGCCAACCTGCGGTCATTCTAAAGGCCCAAAGCATGAGAAGTATGATGGCTGGACACCCTACTGGTCAGGGGTGACTTGTACAACAAACACGGATGTAACAGGTCAAAACCAAATTCTACAGCGAGATCAGATCATGAGAGCACTTTGCTTAGTCATTCACATCCGAGTACATACAGATGGGTCATGTCAACACAGCCAAGGCCAGTGGACTAGGATGCAATTGCCTGAAGTGGGCTGCCTTTGCCTTTCCAGAGACTGCGCTCTTTTTTATTATTGATTATACATATTTACTATTTATTTAGTGGACTCGTGTTGGATTTATTTTCAGGCAAAAGGAAAGTCTCTTCTATGCTGTTTCTCTAGGATTCTGAAAGTGAGTAACAGAGTTCACTAGTCAAGCACTTAAGAGCACAGGCTCTGGCACCAGACTGCCTGTGCTTGATAGATTCCTGCCTCTGCCTCTTATTAGATTTTTTGGCTTTTGTGTTAACTCCCCTGCATTTGAGTTTGGTATAACTGTTCTTCTCCTTGGATAATGGGGATCATAGCAGTATTGACCTTAAAGGCTAGGGAGAAAATGAAAAATGCAACAGAGTGCCAGGTGCATACTTATCAGCCCATAAATGATGGTAATGATGATGGTGATGATGATTTAACTCTACAATATTTGGCCAGTTGAAAGTGTCAATTAAAGGAAATGAAAGCCAACTAGTGAGCCAGTCTATTTTTTAAGTTGATTTCATTTTTCATCATTTTGATATAATGTACCCCAGACTGGCACCACAGATACAGGCAGCCCTGATTGACTTGCACAGAAAAGAGTACATTTCCTCTTCACTCCTGCCATTGCCTCACCACACAGCCTCTTTATCTGCTGGGCTTTCTATTTCCAAAGCTGTGGATCACATTTTTGTTCTCTGTGTGGGATTGTTGAGCTCGATGCAATTGATAATTTTATTCTTGAGGTGTGGGGTTTTTTTGGATAATAAAATAATATATACATTTTACAAGGATTATACAATGCAGATAGTCTAGGGGAGAACTTTTTTAAAAAAGATTTATTTATTTATTTTATGCAAGAACCAGGGTACAGACCAGATGCGTGGGAGAGTGAGAGGATTCACCAGAGACAGAGTGGGGAACAGAACAGGCAGACTGATGACGTACACTGCTGAGGGGAGCAGTGGGCATGACAGGAGAGGTCCACCGCGCCATGTGGGACCCTCGCGGGCCAGCCGGGATCGAACCGGCGCTGTCGAGGATGCAGACAGCTTCACAGCGCGGCACTCAGCCGCCTGCGCCACCAAGGGAGACCCTAGGGGAGAACGTTTTTAAAAATCACCTATGCTCCTACTACTGAGTTAACCCCAATTAACATATGCAGAGGGCTCATATGCGCAGTAGATAGTTCTGTGTGTGCATGTATATGTACTATGAATCATATGTATTCTGTGTGCATGTGTGTGTGTATACATGCTTTTTCCTAAATGGGATCTCATACGGCGTGCTATTTTGTAACAGTGGGATATTTAAGCATCTCAGTTTATGAGATTCTCCACAGTGTGTGTCCTCCCCAAACTGACTGGAGAGTCAAGCTTTGTTTTCATTTTCTTGGATTGTCTCACTGTTCCTTCAGCCTCTTCCCTCCCTTGCCCTCAACTCTTTTAGCTACATGACACGAGCACCTACTGTTAGACAGTTCTGAGAAGAGCAGAACAACGTAAAAATACTGTTTCCACTCATTTTTACAAGTGAACATGCTGGCCAAATAAACCATGTACCATAAAAGGCTCTGCGAGTCACTTTAGGGCGTGACTAGATTTTCTACCCTCGCCAGCTCAGCTTTCGGAGTAACAAGCACAAGACAACTCTCAAGTGTGCCTCTGCTGTGTGACACTCTCTGCCATTCTTCAGTCAAGTTGCTTGATGCCCCTTGATCAAAAAGTATCAGTCAGATGTAAGAGCATGTCCTGTTCATCTGCAAGTGGTTTCCTCCCAGAGTCATTCACATCCATTATCCAAACCATTCTTTTGACAATTTTTTCTGGTTCTGACCCGCCTTTGATTTCTAACCACTAGTTGACAGAACTGGAGGGACTGCTTGTACATAAGCCAATACCACGAAACCCCTCAAGTGGTTTTCAGAATTCCTTATGTGTATACACTTTGAATCTCAGTTCTCATGTCTTCAATATTTTCTCTCACTGCTGTGGGGACATGTGAAGGCCTCTCCCTACTCTCTTGCTCCCCAGAGAGAAGTCTATTATTTCAGCGTGAGAGACTCATGTGCAAGCCTGGAAGGTGGGGAATGACTGGATTACTCTGAGTTCCCTGCCCCAGATATGCAGCGTTCATTTCAATGACTACTGAAAGTCATAGCAGGAGTGTCTGAAAGTTGACGCTTCGGCTCTGCCTGTTACTCACTGACAAACCTCTGGAAATGAAGTTATAGCAGCATAAACTACCATTATCGTTATTCAGGAGGCAATGGCTTAGGCACGTGAAGACACTCCATGTAATCGAAGTATCTGCTTGTCGGCTTGCTTTAATACAGATGTGTGCTTCATGCAGCAGTGGCTTTGAATTTGTGTCAAGAGGCCTGGCCGTGACCAGGGATTGAATGACAGGAGCAAGTTCAAAAGAGATGTTGGCCACTCTGTGCTTGGGAGAGTCTCAGACCTAAGCTGAGATCCACCCTTCTTCTTGTAACCCTTCTCTAACCTGCTCACACCTCTGCGGCCTGGTGAGGGGCGGGAGTGTGACTTCAGTGAGGTGACTCGGCAAAGCATTTAACCCCTTGCCTAGAGCATAATAATTAATCGACAAATATTAGTCCCTTCTGCCTCCTTGGAAATAGAGATTGGAGAGAGGGAAAAGCAGCCGCTGAGCCCAGGAGCTGGCAGGCCCTCGCAGCCAGGCTGGGTGCTCCTGTGGACCAGGAATAGCTCCGCCGACCAGCAACGCTGGACGAAGCCACTCTCTGACCGTGAGGGCCCGCTGCACTCTCATGTGAGCATGCGCGCTGACAGCCAGGCTCCAGGATGACCCAGCTCCCTGTCCTCCAGCTGATGCCGCTGACAGCCGCCTCCTCCCAGGCCTGCTTCTTCCTCCCATCTTTTAGGCAAGAGCTGTTAAGATGCTCACAAATGAATGACCCCCACTTCCTGGAACCTCCCCCAAAGCACAAAAACCCACAGCCAGACTCCAAACGGCTCCTGCCGCCCCCTTACTGAGCCATGCCCCTGTCCCCACCTTGTGCGGTCCCCCTGCTTGTGATGCGTGAGCACTGGCAACAAGGCTCACATCCTGGCGGGCCTGGTGAGTGCAGCTTTGCTGCAGAGCCTCAGCATAACTGGTGGCTACTGGGTAGAGATACAGCTGCTTCGAGGGGCCTCCAGACTCAAAGAATGGTCAGCTACCAGCAGCATTGGCAGCTCCTGGGAGCATGTGAGAAGTGCACCCTCTCACCCCCCACTCCTGAAAACCCACCAGTTTGCTGTGGAGCAACCCAGTCCCCATATGCGTGTTCCCCTGTGACAAGTGCTACTCAGCTGCCGAAGCTCAGCCAGCCTGGGAGGTTGTACCAGAAGGTCAATGCCCAGGCCCACCTCCAAAGATTCTGATTACATTAGCCAGGGTGTGGGCTGGGTCTCGGGTTTGGTCAAAGAGCCCCAGTTCTTTCTAATGTGCACCCAGGGGTGAGAAGGGCGGATGGAGACAGCCGCCAGGGGTGGCGTGGTTCTGGCTGACAGCCCCACTGGCTCACAGCAGTCATGTCCAGGGGAGGGGCTTGGAGGGGTCTCCCATAGGTGCTCACATGCTTCTCCCTGTGCTCCAGGTGGCCCCTCCGAAGGCAAGCTGATTCCGGGAGATCAGATTGTGATGATAAACGATGAGCCCGTCAGCGCGGCACCACGGGAGCGCGTCATCGACCTGGTCAGGTGGGTGACTCCCCTGTGCCCCCGTCCTGTGACAGAGGCTGCACAGCCGAGTCTTCATGTGGCAGAGGTAGGCCAGAAACACAAGCCCACACCTTCACCTTGAAAATGCTGGTGACACTCGCCTGTCACCTAAGAGCACCTATTCCATAAACACAAGCCCTTCCTGCTCACTCTGCTGCTGTTAAGGGTCTTCTGCTTCAGCCCGAAAATTCGTTGACTCCTATTTCTGTTGCTGTATCCAAAGGTTGCAGTATTTTTCTCCTTCCAAAATCACTTACACATTGATATTCCATAATCAAGGAGATCAAAATGCAGTACCTAAATTCAGTATAAGTGATGAGTAATTTTATATACATAATCCCATGGATACACAAACATACAGCTCACTGATTTTTCGTACTTGATTAAGTGATTCATTACTGGATTTTGAAATCATCAACTGAAGCAAGAGGAAAATTGGGTCAAAACTAGGAAGTTTAAAAGTGTGCTTGATTATTGGTTTTGTTTTGTCATAAACATAAATAACTTCTTGGTATGTGATCATTTTAATGGAGTACCAGAAAGTGAATTTTACGTGATGTTAAAATAGTCATCAAAAATTCCCTTGGAAGCCCACTGGCTTGCACTTCCACAGTGAGTTTAGCACAAAAGGGGTCTTTAGAGATGTTCTAAACGAAGCTGTGCCTGTGAACAAATGGGCCCCACCCCCACCCCCACCCCCAGGCTCCAGGGCTGGTGAGGGATAATGGGCATGCCACATCTGTCTTGATAAACTGATCCTTTGGAGCAGAAGCTAAAGCTGTCAGAGCACTTTCAACTGAGAAGGGGATCCCTTGGCACTTGTGCCCTCGGGGCCAGAAGTACATCCGTGTGTTGAGAAAGGCATTAAGTAGAGTATGCAGGAAGGGGGTTTGAAGGGAAAGTTTCCCAGCCCGGTTTAGCTTCTGCTTCACGGAGAAGTACAGGGCGGTCATGCTTCTGTGGAAGGACTGGGAGGAGGAGGAGAAGCAACGACACAGAAATAGAAGGGGCTTGTTTTTAGGGTGACCAGAACGGTTGACCACCATACTTTGGTCGAGGCCTAGGGTCGGGGAGCTTTGGAAGCTGGCTGGCAAAGGGGAGCCTGACCTGTGGGGCATCGAATCCGAGGGCCCCTGCTCCATATCAGTGAACACTGAAGCTCGTGTCAGACTCGCCCCGCAGCAGGAGCCAGACCAGGGAACTCCTCTGGTCTTCTGTGGACCTGCAGTGCAAGAATTGGGGCATTCTCTGTATTTTAGAGCCCTTTTGAGGGAATGAGGGGGGCCTCCCGGAACCTTTTCTCTCCTTGGATGCTTGTGGGTGTCGGGGACACAGCTCGGGCAGGCAGGCGTGGGGCCTGCCTCCTGGATCCTGGAGCTCCACGCTGGGCCTAATGGCGGGTCACAGCCATTTTGTTTTCCCCTAGGCGCACGCCTCTGTCATCAGTCCTATTGATTTCTGTGCCTGGAGGATGATAGAAGAAATCAAATATCTGTGTTTGTTTGGGTTTGCTGTAACTGAATTGGCTGCTGCAGGACAGAGACGGAGAAAAAGCCATCTAAAAGTGGGATCATTTCCTAGCAATCCTTCCAGGGGCACTTAGAAAGATTTTATTCCTCTGTTTGAACATATTATGGACGAAAGTGGCCTCGCCATCAACAAAAGTCTTTACAGGAGTTTATCTGTAACGGAGCCCAGTGAATATTTGTTGACTGAATGAAGCAAGTGAAAGGGCGGGCGAAGGCCAGCTCTCCGTCCAAAGCCAGCCCATCTGTTGTCACATAACCGGTCAGCTAAGAAGGTTTTTTGGTTTTTTTTTTTTTTTTCACATTTTTAAAGGGTTGGGAAACAATAAAAGAAATATTTTATGATATGAGGTAATCTTATGAAATTCAACTGTCAGAGTCCATCATAAAATTTTATAGGGAAACAGCCACACCTTCATTTATGTGTTGCCTGAGAATGCTTTCTCCTGCCCTGGCAGAGCGGAGTGCTCGCAGCCTCTCCCTCTGACCCACATAGACTAAAATATTTACCATCGGGTCCTTTAAAAAGTGTGGCATCCCCTACTTTAGGAGATTTAAGGTAACCGAGTGCATTCTTTAGTTAAGCCTAAATTTAGACTAAAATCTCAAATAATATACACATTCAATTTCTCTTAAAATGGGGTTGTGATTACAGCACAGTTCCCGCAGACCTGATGACGAGGTCGTGGTGATTAAATTGGAAACGTGCACGCTTTTAGATGTCAGCAAATACTTTAGGTGCATAAATTCTCTGTCCTACTCAAGGCCCGACCCCTGAGGTGCAATGGGTGGTCAGGAGCATGAGTGGGAGAGAGTCGAGCCTTCCTACTTCCCTGCCCCCAGCCAGAGCCCTCTCTTGATGAACTGCGGCTCCTCTGCCCCCTCAGACCAGCTGCTGACTCCCTTTGTGTCACTGTACCTACTGGTTGGCTCTCCTGTGGTAGTCAGATGTGAAGTGTCTGATAGCAGAAAAGGGGTGCCCAATGAGCTCCCCTCTACCACATAGTACCACACATGGAAATCTGGCTCCAGCTCCCTCACCCCCTTTTTGCTAGTTTTCTGATCAGACCCCTTGGACAAGGCCTGAGCAAGACTAGCTGCTCTTCAAGATGGCGCTTGGCCTTGTCACAGAGGGGACAAGGTCAGCTCTCACCGCATCACAGCCCTTCTCCGCCCCCCAGTTCTCTCTCCCACCCTTCCCAGTCTTCTCACAGAGAGGCTAAGGTGTTGGCTGGCTGTAATGGATCACATTGTGCTTTCTGTTGGAATGTTCTGGGAGACCCTGCTTGTTTGCAGTTCACTTTAGATATGGTCTGAGTGTTCCTTGGCCAGTGTCCCACTGATAGGTGACAAGGACACAGCAAAAATCAGCAGTATAGTTTAATGTTGTAGAACCAGGGGACCGAGTTCCATGACAAAAGGCTCATGAAAGGTTCTCAGTGACAATGTTGAGCGAATGAGTGGGCTCTGGGAGCTGTTTGAAGACTACGTATTTAGATAGTTTCCCTCCAGTCTTCCTTCCATACTAAGTTCTGCAAGTGGGAAAACCAGTTGATGAATGACTGCATGCCTCAGAAAGCATTCGTTTTATTCACTTACTATGAAACACTTTTAGGCACCCACCACACACGCAGCACACAGAGGCAGGCAGCCCCGTGGGGACGGAGACACAAAGCCCAGCCTTCAGGAGCTCCCTGCCTCCACCCTGCTGTGAGCACTGACGTCTAGTCTAGTGGGACCTCCTCAAGGCAGAAAGATTCATCGGCACTCTGGGGGCATTAGCAGATTTCAAGGAATTTTGTGAGGGATGAAAAGCACAGGCCCTAGAAGCTATTGAGATGGTGAGCATGTAGCCCTAAAACTTTACACCCTTTAACCTCAGGCCTATATATGTATCTGTATAGAAATACCAAGGTGCTTTATTGTAACCAAATAAATCAGAGTGCAGTGTCACTGTGTGACTTCTAGAGACAAAAGGCAGCTGGTGGTGGGGTTCATAGGGTAACCAACGCCTTCCAACTCCCTCAGCCAGAATTTTGAAATAACGTGTTTCTCACTAATGAAAAGGTTTGTGCATTAAAAAATTGTCCTGTGGGCCTCCCTGGTGGCGCAGCAGTTGAGCGCTGGGTTGAGAAGCTGTCCGCAGCCTCTGCAGCACCGGTTCGATCCCCGGGCACCGGGCAAGGGTCCCACATGGCGCGCAGACCTCCCCTGCCGCCCGCTGCTCCCCTCAGTAGTGTATTTCGTTAGTCTGCCTGTTCTGTTCCCTGCTCTGGCTCTGGTGAATCCTCTCACCCTCCTGCACTTCTGACTGTACCCAGTGCTTGTGTAAATAAATAAATAAATGTTAAAAAAAAATTGTCCCATGCCTTCCCAGCAGTTTAGCCATCTGTCTGCTCTATGTGCCCTCACCAAAAAGTTGAGCTCCTATGAAATAATCTTTTTTATTGAACTTCTCAGCCGGTATGTGTTTTAATGTCTGTATCTTACTTGAGATCAATTCCCTTTTTGTTTAATAAAGTATCCCATTTTCTTAGCCACTAAGGAAATTTGGAAAAACACCACTTATCATTTTAATAACACTATAAAATTCTCTCTTTAAAAATTGGCATCCATTTACTTGCCTAAGTGGTTTAGTCTTGTTTTGTTCTTTTTTTCTCCCATTGCAACATTTTCTCATGGATCATTTTTTGTTTCCAGATCCATTTGTGTTTCTTTGTGGATTATTTTTCTTATCATTTGGTTGCTCTATTAAAGAAAAGAAATTCTTGAGAAAATGAAAGAGTTTCCTGGAGACCAATTTACTGCTATAGTAACCACATTTGGGGTTTTTTTCATGTATTCTCAAAAAGAGCTATAATTGCTGTACTGAAATTAGATGAGTTCCGTTCATTCCATAGTTTTCTAAGTTGTTAACTCTGCCTCATACTTTATAGTGGTTGAGAGGCAAAATCTTTGAAGAATTCATGCCCTTTGCCAATTTCTGTATCTTTCTTCTTTAGAAGTATCCAAGGATAATTTCACTTGGCTTTTCACAATTAGACAAATGAACTTAGCTTCCAAAATTTTATTTTTAAACACTGCGGAGTATAATTGCTCATAGACATTATGAATCATGCCCCATACCCCAAGGCCAGCAACCCAATTAAATTCATTTGACTTCAACAAGCAATTATTGAGCATTAACCAGGCAGCGAATGTGATGGAAGGCATTGGAGATGTATAAATACCTAAAACGTGATTCCTGCCCTCAAGGAGGAGACTTCTAATTAATTGCCCTATGTTTATGACTTTGTTGGGGAGGGTGGTGTTTGATGGGAATGTTTGGAGGGAAGGAATGAGGTGTGCAGGAATGTAGAGATGGTGTTAAGGAGTAGCCGAGTGGAAGAGCAGGTTATGGATGGAGAAAAGGTTGTAAAATAGATCTTCCCTTTGGCCCTGGAAATCCCAGAG